TTTATAGGCTCTTTTATGAACAAATACGCGCGTTAAATATTGCCTAAAAAGCTCTAAATATTGACCCTCCATACAAGGAAATTTGATTACTTGTTTGCCAGTCTTTTGAAAAGCAAGAGAAAGTTGTTTGTGAATAGCATGTACCAACATTTCTTTCCATTCATTAATAGAATTTTCTGGTAGAATGTAAGATTGAATAGGAGGTATATTATAATTACTATGCTTGGCGTTTTCATGTTGTGAAAGCCCTGCTGCAGATTTGTACCGTTTTTTTTTACAAATAGTACATTCAAAAGGTTTTTTATACTTTGTTTGAGGCATTAAACTTATTTATTTACAAGTAAAAATGTGTATATATAAACTCTTGTTATAGTTTTTATTGTCTTTACTTACTTGTACACGATTTCGTTCATTGGTTACCTGGGTGGGTTCATTGGTTTGACATTAGGATTTATTATAAAATTTTAATTTTTAATATAATTTTTGGGGTGCTAATATGCAATGTCGATCAGTATCAATTATAAATTAGGAGTACAAATTTAGGCCCAAAAAAACATTTTGGCCGATATGATAAACTTTATAAATGGAAAAAATCCATAGCCGGCAATAATAGTAATATTAAATTAGACAAACGATGTATTGATTTAGATGATTCTGATGATGAGATCAAACAGCAATTTTTAGAAGCTGATAAATCAATCAAAAAATACCAACTGCCTCACAAAAACATGAGAACATGATGTATACTTCTAAATTTATTGATATAAAAGAAATCGTTTCAGAGTCTGAAAATTTTAGGAATAATCAATAACTTAATCCAAGTAAAACAATCCGTATTGATAATATCAATAGCATTTTATTTTTTTATAAATAACAAGATTAATGGATATTAAATCCTTGGATATAGATTGATGAATCAAATAGTAAACATTCATGTAAATAAATAGCTTATTTCAAATGCTTTTTATACCTGACAAAATTAATGCGAATAATAAAAAATTTAATACAAAGAATTCTGAGTTAAACATAAAATCACAAATAAAATCATGAGCTTTAATTATAAAATTTATAAATTTAGAAAAAATTTAATAGCAATTAAATTCACAATTTTATTTTTCATTAAGGAATTTAGTTAAATAAAAATTATTAAGTCTATAAAAGACAGGTAGACCTATCTAGTTGTAATGACATCTGATGCATAGACCTTAATAAATTTTGCTTTGTTTCTTGCTTCATTTCTAAAGTATGATGTCTGAAATGACAACACAATACAGTAAATTCATATAGAGTAAATTCATGTAGAGTAACTCAAAACTTGGTATATTATTAGATATTGATATGGAAAACATATAAATAAATGACATGAAAAAGTACATAAATTTTATTTATACTAATGTTTTGACAATATCTATCACGAAATGCTTGCCCATTTTCATAGTTACATTAACAGAGTCACAAAGAATTTTTACATTGCAATTTAGTCATATTAATAAAGAGTTTCATAACACATTTATTTTTATTTTATTTATTTTTTTTTTTATGGCGAGGCCTGGCTCTTGTCTTTTATTATAACCAATAAATTCTTAATGAGGGTACATCAGAAGA